CCCCCACTGAAGTGACAAGAATCTCTGCGGGGGCTACGACGGGACGTGATACGGGCGGGCGCTTTGCAACATCAATGAAGCCTCTGGGGTTGACTCTGGTCCTCCTCCTCCCCTCCTCCTCCTCCTCCTCCTCCTCCTCCTTCTCCTCCCGGAGAACCCTCATCCCCCTCGTCACGGGTGGCCGAAAGACCGCGAATGCACGACAGAGTGCAAGGGTCATGGCAGCACGGGACTGGGGCAATCGACCCCGCAAGCCATTGCACTGCATCCTCGGGGGACCTCGTCTGTCCCGTCGCAACCCTATCCGCGTCGAATCCGTGTCGAATCCATGTCGGCCTCGTCGGATCCGTGTCGAATCCGTGTCGAATCCGCGTCGAATGCCCGCCAAATCCGCATCGAGGCCGCATCGAGCCCGCGCCAGGCACAAAAATAAATACAATTTTTTGGGACAGGCGGCGTCCCCCGAAGATGCAACGTAAAGGCCAGAACGAGCGTGGGAAGCAACAGCGGAGGTGTCCCCCACCAGAGCCTCCGCAGGGGGACCCCGCAGCGTCCCTGGAGCGGAACGCGCGCGATGAAGAACGCAGGGGCTCCGGACGGAAGGGGGGGTCCTCGCTGTGGGGGCTGTGGTCGACCTCCTGGGGCCATCCCCGAGGCCCGAGGATCGCCAAACAAGAGCCTGGGAGGAAGAACTGGTCCCAGGGGAGGCCCCAGGGTCGGGGACCCGTTTCCAGAAGGACCCCATGTCCTGCATGCCAGAAGGAGCAGGGCAAGGGGGCCTCTTCGAAGGAGGCAACCCGCCTCTGGCCGCGCAATGCGTCAGGTCTCGTCGTTTGCAGACTTGCCCGCCAGGTTTCTGCCGTTGCGTGCAGCTTCACGAGGCGCAATGACCACTCACTGGAGCACGCAGGCTGGTGGTCCTGTAAGTGGAGCCCTACACGCCCCAACCCCGCCCCCCCGTCCCCGGGAAGACGCCTCCCGCTTCCTGCCGTCGGCTCCGCAGCGCATCGATAGTCTTAGGTCGGGCATGTCCTCCTACAGGCGGATTTTCGATGAAAAATAAAGCATAAAAAACAAACAAACAAAACGTTGAGCATTAAACAAATCGTCCCCAGACTATTTGTTTAAACTATGTTTGAATACTCCTTCTGTAGAGGGACACGCCCGACTTAACGATAGTCGCACGCAGCCTCCGCGGCGGCCGAGACTTCTCAGACGCCTGCCCGAGCCGTCGAGGTCTTCCCCTGACGCGGGAAGGGGTCTTGGGACCAGGCGGTTCGCGCAGGCCTCGGCGGGAGGATGAGGAAGGGCGCACAGCGCGAACGAAGAAGGCCCCCAAACCCCAAAGCCATCCAACGATCATGGCGAGACCCCAATTGTAAGATTGGCTCCTCTGACAGCTTGCGCACACAGGCAAAAGAAGCGATCAAGCTGGCTACATGCAAACCGGCGTTTCGAACAAGAGGACTCTGAGCAAGGGGCAACACCCACATACTACGGTGTTGCATTGGTTTGTCTCGCCTTCGGTTATTTTGCTGGGAAATGCTGTCCAACGCTGTGTACTATTATGCAACGTGTTGACAGGTCGCTGCGAGTTTCTCTGCACCGTTTTTCTTGGAGCATGTTTGACTTGAGCTGAGTGGCATTGTATTACACTGCATTCATACGCTCCAGGTCTGGATTGCACTGCTACGATTGGCTATCTGGTGGACTGAGTTTGTCTGACACTATGTGTCTTGCATTGTCGTGTTTCGTTTTCCTCTGTGATTCATAACAATGTGTGGAAATTGATTGCGTTGCTGTGCTGTGGCTTGCGTTACGATGCGAAGCTGCGCATTGCGATACGTTGCATTGAATCACAGGTCTGGCGTTCAACGAGAAACCCTCGAGGACCAGTGGGGGTCCTCGAAGTACCGGGGGGTCAGGAACAAGGCTTCGGAATACAGCTACCATGTGTCCTCTGGCACAGACCACCCAGGACCTAGGTACAGCCTACCTTGAGAGAGTATAGGAAGGCCCAGCACAAGTGCCATCACAAAATCGGCCAAACTTCCAAACACAGAACCAGCAACCGCAGGCGATTTGCAGAGCCGACCCGCGCAAACCAACCCGTGCCTCCACACGTCGAAATAGCCCCGCGGGGTACGAGACGCCCTGAGGCTCCTCGATCAGAAACGTCTAATGCCTGCGCGCTGCGCAGGCGAATGCCATGCGTATCGGATTGTTGCCAGCGTGGACCCGACACAGTCACTTCTTGCACTCTGGATGCGTGCGAGTTGTACAGGTTGAGCTATGTGGTGCGAGCTCAGGCTATGCGTTGCAAGCTATGTGCTCCAGGTTATGTGGTGTAAACTGGGTGGTGCTCGCTCTGTGCTGTGAGCTATCCAGTGTAGGCGTTGTTGCCGTTTCCCTCTTTTCACAAACCAATGTTCTCCGCTCACTGGCTTACGGCACTTGGCTCCCTCAGGAGCCGAACAAGTCGACTCGCCCTGCCGCCGAGTCCCAGCCCCGCGGCGCAGTGACCAAGTTTGGGTCGGGCATGTCCTCCTGCAGGCGGAGCTTGGAGGACAAATGAAGAATAGTCGAATTGACCAAGCATACCGACAAATATTCTGGATTTGTTCCCCTGGCTTTTTCAATAGTAATATTAATATTATTCTATTTTTTTTTTAAAAAAAAAAAAAAAAAAAAAAAAAAAAAAAAAAAAAAAAAAAAAAAAAAAAAAAAAAAAAAAAAAAAAAAAAAAAAAAAAAACTGTAGACGGACAGGCCCTGTGCGCTGCGCGCCCACGAGGCGCCCACGGAGCCCACCGGGCGCGGCGCCCCGACCCGCGCGGCCAGCGCACGGGGCGCCCACGAGGCGCCCACGAGGCCGGCAGGTGGCGGAGCCCTGGAACACACAAAGAAACACACACAAATGAAAAGATTCCCCATAGTTTCCCATGTGTTCTGGGTTTCTGTGTTCCCCCCCACGTCCCATCTGTTCCCATCTGTGTGTTTCTTCTTCCCCTCCTGAAAAAAAAGCATGAGAAAAAAAGCGAAGCCCCAGCTCGCCCGGCCAGTCACTTTTTAAGAAGCGAGAGCCTCCAAGTGCGCGCACGGCTTGGGGGGAACAAAGGTAGACACTGCCACGTTGCAGTTCTCGGGTCGGGCGAAAGGGGGGGATAGCAAAGGGGCGGTTTGAGGATCAGCTCCCGTAGCTGAGTTTCCCGGCGCCTCCCGGCGCCGGGAGGCGCCCATGTATCGAGGAATGGGCCCCTCGGCGGGGCCGAAACCAGCTGCATGCAGCAGATTTCGTACCCCCCCCCTTTCCCAATCCCCCCCCTCCGTCCGGCCCGACCCAAGTGCGCGCACGGCTTGGGGGGAAAAGGTGGACGCTGCCACGCTGCAATGATGTCTCCTGGTTTTCTGCTTCTTGGGAAACACAAAAAGCCGAGCGACCATAAACGTTCAGAGGCCCGCGCAGATGTCTTCGATCGGCGCCGGGCCCCACGCCCTGGCGCGCGGAGGGCGCCAGGGACGGCGCCAGAGGAGCCAACGACCGATCCAAGAAATCCGCGCGGAGAAAGCGTTTGTTTATGCCGCTTTTCGTTCCTGGATGCTCGGGTGTAGCGAAGGCGAAGAGGCAGGGCAACAAAAGGGTGCAACGAATTAATTGCACGCGAATTGACTTAATGTTGCTCCTTGGCGCTGGGAGGCTGTCGACCTTCGAGGATGGCGGCAGGGGCCAAGAACAGCTGTATGCACCAGCGCAGAAGCAGACAAATCCTCGGCAATGTAGCGAAACGCTGTGGAACAACCCAGGAGGGAAAAAGCGAGAGAGAGAGAGAAACAACAACAAAAAATGAGAGCGACAAAGGCTCCCCGCCCCCGCAACGGCGCAGAGGAAGATCGGCGAACGGAATGCGGATCCGCATCCGCTCCCCATCCCTTCCTTAAGTTGCATCCTCGGGGGGCCTTATCTGTCCCGTCGCGGCCCTCTCCGCGCCAGATCCGTGTCGAATCCTGGTCGGAATCCTCGGCTCCGTGTCGGGTCCGTGCTGAATCCACGCCGAATCCGTGTGGAGTCCGCACCGAGCCCGCGCCGGGCACACGGGAAAAAAACCAAAGATTGGGGACGGGCGAAGCCCCCCGAAGCTGCAGCGTATACTGCCCAACGTAAACTCTTGGCGCTCCGCGCGGATTTCCTGGATCTGCGCTGGACCCCCACCCCTCTCTGGCGCGCCAGGGGCGCGCCAGGGAACGGCGCCGGAGGCGCCGCCCAGGGGGGGCCCTGCGCTGATCCAGGAGATCCGCGCGGAGCGCCAAAAAGGTATGTTCATGGGGTCGTTGTCCATCGATTCCTCTCTGAGGGAGGGAGGGAGGAGGAGGAGGAGAGGAGGAGGAGGAGGAGGAGGAGGAGGAGGAAGAGGAGGAAGGAGGAGGAGGAGGAGGAGGAGAGGAGGAGGAGGAGGAGGAGGGAGGAGGAGGAGGAGGAGGAGGAGGAGGAGGAGGAGGAGGACAGACTCTCTGAGGGCCAGGCGGGGACGCTGCGGCCCCCGCGCGCCGAGCGCGCTGCGGGGGGTGGGCGCCGGAGGCGCCGCCGGGCGTGCGAGGGGAGGGGGGGCACCTCCCGCAGCAGGGCGTGGCGAGACAACGGCAGCTCGCAGGCTGTCGGCCGACCCGTTGGAGGGGAGCAAAGATACAAATAGATACGCACAAATCCCAGAAGATTCCCCATAGTTGTTCGTGTGTTTGTGGCTCTCGTCTTCCCCCCCACGTCCCCTCTTTTTTCATATATTTTCCCAGGAATCGGCGAAAATCTGTGTCTGCGTGGTTTTGTTCCCTCCTGACCCCTACCAAGGTCCAAACGCACCAGCGTTCCAAGCTGCGTCCAGCCGTGGCGAGGAGGGGGCCCCCGAAGGCCAGCTGCCGATGTCTCGGCCCGCCCTCCTCCGCGCGTCGGTGCCGTCGTTTGGCCCTGCGCGCTGCACACCCGGAACCCGGATCGGAGAGGCAGGC